CGAAAGAGAGGGGAAGGGAGGTTCATACCGATGACAAGAGAATGCTCGATGAGGTTGGAAGGAACTAGGAAGAGACTGTCACAGAGGATAGAGCATGTTTCTGGTTGAAGGGGAAAAAAAGTTCAAGGGGGAAAGCGTGAAAAACCAGGGATCCAATCAAGACGTGATGTGGGGAAAGTGCACGTAAGAAGAGTGTTTTGTGTGAAAATGTGCTGTTGCTATTTGGTTCTGTTTGACAGGGACAGCGGGTTGTGTGAGAAAGAAGTAATGGATAAGGTGTCAGAAACATTCGGAAAAGCCAAACGACCTGTACCACTACTTGGATCTCCCCCTTCCTCCAACCTGTGTCAACACCCTTGAAAGCGAGCGCGTCATCATCCCAACAAAACTGGGACGGCGCTGGCGCAGCTCACAGTTTCCCTCTTCGTCCACCCCAGGCAGTCGCACAAGCTTGTCGGCAGAGGCACCTGCACCCGTCTGGTGAAGATCACAGGTCACAGAGCAACGGGGAGGAAAGGGTAAGCGAATATTGATGAAAGTGGCGTCCAAAAAGGTCGAACACATTCCATCCTATCTATCAAATAATTCTCTGAGTAAATATCGACGATTATATTATTGAAAATGTGCAAAAAAATTGCGGTAGTGTCCGAATAGCCACCTCTCATCCGCTCTTCCCTCTATGCACACTTCTTGTGCCTCATTTTCACCTCTTCGTTCTCTTCGTCCCCATCCTTGACACTATTAGGCGGCGATTTCGGCGTCATCAGGGTAGCAATATAGCTGGACGTAGAGGCACGATAAAGAAGCCTGAATCAGGAACGAGAAGAGAGAAGAGATGAATGAGATGCGGAAACGGCAACGGCATTTCGAAGATGTCCAAATTGGGCAGGAAACTTACGGGCGCTTTTCTCCGCTGCCTCCACATGATTGATACATTTAAGCTGTAGTATATTTGTGGTCGTCTTCGTATTAAAGTGGTGTGAAAAACATGATAGCCTCCCGCGCATCGTCGATCCTTCCCTCCCAACATGTCCGTCCCCCGACAGGTCCGAGTGGATATCTGTGCCACCAAAAAAGCATAATACAGCATTTGACCTACGGCATAAATATAAATATAATAATAGCTAAGGATATTCAGATCCTTTTTTTCATTTTGGGGTCGCGCTATGCTATTTTGAGGGGTTTATTTCCTGCACAGCAAATCACCGCGCTGAGCTTCAAAGCTCCGCTCGCTGCTTACATCCAGTTTACGTACTTCGGGGCTTTCCTAGTTAATATGTGATGTCACAGGGTAAGATGTACACTTGATGCTAGTGTTTCACGTTGAAATTCGTCCAATCGTCAATGTGGTACAGGAAGGGAAGCACGTTCGTCGTTTTACATACTGTTTTGTGTTGACGGCACGTCGGTGGCGCTGTCAGGATGCACAATAAGTGTCTGTGAAGCGTACGGTGAGTGATGTTAACATCTTTTTCTTACTCTTGTTTTCTGATCTTGCACTGGCACCTTCCCGCCTGAATAATTGAAGGAGCTCCAGGTGGGGTATAATGAGATAATTGGAAATGAAATTATTTTATCAATTAGTGTAAAAACAACCGCATATCACAGAAATGTTTAATTTTAATTATTGCTTGTGCACATTTCATGAAGAGCTGCTATCCTATTGGTACCTCCTACAGTCGCTCTTCCTCCCGTCCACCGCCTGCTTCTCAACGATAAATAGCCTTTCCCGGTCGAGCACACCCAGAGCATTCACAGCGAAAGCCCACGGCCCCTGCAGAAGGATGGTAGCTCTGTGTGGCTCCCATCCCGCGGCAGGGCTGTCCTCGAAAATGACGTTGTGTCAGTACCTGGCATATGGGACGATGATGTACGCATGATGAACGCCAGGGGAGTGATGCCGTCGAAATACTTTACAGTATTTCCCCTTTTCATTCGTTTCCCGCTCGGCCCTTCCGCTTCTCACCTGATAATCCACCGTCAACTCCTCCCCCGCTCCTATCTCCTTGGTAGCCACCACGCGATAGCCCCGTCGAATATTTACCCCGCTGTGTATCTTTCCCCTCCGTCCTCTTCCAGTCCGGTGCTCAAGACGGAGGCAGCGCGTGGCATTGTCGTGTAGGACCTGACCACTGCCGCTTTTTGAACCCCCTTTTCCCTCCCTTCCCCCCTCTCCCTCCCCTTGGCCGCCGTCCCCGGTCTCCCATATCCAGAGCGTGGACGGCCGACAGTGGTGACGCATCAAGCAGTCCCATCTAGAAGGAGGGACACCCAAAGGGGAAAAAAGAAAAAGAGTCTCAGTCATGAAAGTTAGCTGAACTTGAGCAAGTCCAGGGTGGCAGCATTTCTTCCTCCCAATGATCGAACCCCTTCCCCTGCTTACCCGTACACTTCCCTCCTGCTCCTTTCCTCCCCAAGAGAAGCCACCAGGGAGGGAGGGAAAGAAGGAGGGGCGGGCGTGGACGTTGAGTACAGCTCGTAGGGGCTCAAGGGAATGGTGCAGTCGTCCAGCACGAGCAGAAGGGCAGGTGGCGGCGGGTGGGAATGGGGAGATGGGCTTGTGGATCTTCTTGGTGCGATCTGTGGTTCTACGGCTGCCAACGACGAAGGCTGCCTAGGGTCAAAAACTGCCGAGGGAGGGGAGGAGGAAGGAAGGAAGGGAGGGGAGATTCGGGGGGGAGGGAAGGAAAAGAAGGAGGAGGAGGCACGATATAGCGTCTCGCCCGCAGAAAAGGCGCGCGTCGCGATGATTCTTGGCCCCTGAGCTCCCTTCACGTAGAGGGTCTCTTTGGGCAGCTTTTTCTTCCCTCCCTTTCTCTTTTTCTCCTCTTCCTCCTCCTTCCCCTTCTCCTCCTCCTCCTCCTCCTCTCTCTTGAAGGAAAGGCAAATGCCAGGAGGAAGACCATCTCTGTATACAAACAAAAACAAAGGGAAGGAAAAGGGTGAGCTGCTTTTTAGAAGAAAGATCTCACAGGTGTGTCAGAGGAGTGGGGAAGGCCACAGGGCAAGGGGGAGGATCAGGAGAGGAGAAGAAAAGAAACGAAGTTCTCGAACGACATGGCGGCCGGGACAGCTTTGCCGGCACTGGAAAGAAATCTCGTTCTTGGTCACTGCTTGTCACGTTCGTTATGGTACAACATAGTACCAAAATATCTCCCTCCCTTCCATCCTCCTCCTCCCTCCCGCCTTACCTAGCGTCCAGCACACATAAATATGAGCTTTTCTCCTCTTCGAAAGCTTCAAAGACATGGTCTGCAACGGCATGGAGACGAAGAATCTGCTCTGAAAAGGGAAGGTGCTGCACTCGGGGTGCGAAAAGCAGCAAGGAGAGTATAGGATGCGGAGAGAATGCATGGACATGGGCCAAATGTTCTTCGGCGGAAAACCATCCCCGACATTTCTCGACTGATACGTCGTTGTGCATTGCTTTTTCTAGCCCCTCTCCCTCCCCTTCTTCCCTACCTTAAAACCCATCCGGAGACCCCCGCAGACACCCTCTCCTGCACTGCAGAGACACGGCTGCGGACAGTTTCCAACCTTCTCGCCCTCCCATTCTGCTAGAAAATAATCGCATGTAGCCTCCTCCCCTTTACGCAATGATCGAGCTGCAACCACGTCGTAGGTAAAGGAGTCCTGCTCCCTGTCTGACCCCTCCTCTTCATCGAACTCTCCGTCCATCGCTTCACCTATGTCGTCCTTTCCCCTCCTTTTCCTGCTTTTTCTGGTCTTTTCTGTACCTTCTACTTCTATGTTATCGACTTTTTTAATGACCGTTGAAGGTCTGCATGAGTGATTCATTAGAGCGCCGCGGGAAGGATGAAAAAAACACCATTTGGACGATCCAGCGATTGAGGGAAGGCGGGTGGTGTGCCGGTCATATGAATAGGGGTAGAAATGTCCATCAACCGCGATGATAGATGGGAAATTAAATGAAGACGCTTATTATAGTATGGAGGAAATAGATAACGGAAGAAAAATTAACATAAGAATGTAGAGTGTATGATTTCGCCTCGTTCTCTCCCTTCGTACCATTTACAAGCTGGTAGCTCCCTCGGTATACGATCTGCCCTTCTATCACGTCATCTGTCAGAAATAGGCCCCAATTATGTGTGCTATTGCTTTTTTGGTCGTCACATCTCTTATTCTTCGCGTTGCTGCCACTTGTTGCTCCGATTCCGCTGTTGCAGCTTTGCCGGTCGTACTGAGGAGCCCGGCGGACGCAAAGGAGGCAGGGAACAGAAGACATGGTGCTACCGATCAAGTCAACATGTAGTGCATTTAATAAAATGTATGGCCATGTAAAACCTGAGCGAAGACATGATATGCGCATGAGCCTGGCAAAGACAGTGCTCGCGATTGCGTGACGTTGAAGTGACGTATGCTTGTAACCTCCTCACCCCCCCAACCTCCCCTTCCTTCCCTCCTCATCGCACCCTCTACCCACGCTTGGATTCGTCCTGAGTTGAGGGTGACCACGTGATTCAAACAGACTGAAAATTTGATCTATCTATGTGAAGTTGTTTTTCGCACCTCCCTTTTGTGCCTGATATTTCTTCGTTTCTATATTCTGTTTCTCCTCATCATTTTTCGTGTCCCCTCTCATAAAATATTCTGTTCATGAAAAACACTCCTCATTCTCTGATCAGGCTTCATATATTCCTCTTATAGAACAAGGACTTTTTGTAGACTCAACTTGTCTCCTCTATTGATTGACATGAGCGGTCGTGGATTATTTAGCAGCCCGCGCTGGAATCATCCTTATGATGGAGATGGTGGAGAAGGAATGAGAGATAATCGAAGGGGGAAAAGAAGTACCAAGGGGAAGAAAAGAACAGTTTCTGAGCAGATAGGGGCAGTGTATGACATCATACAAAAATTGGCGCCGCAGATTGAATTTATGGCCCGCGTTATGAGAAGGCAGGCACGAAATGTGGACAAAGCTACAAGAAGGGACAAGATACATCGTAAAGAGGAAATCTCCCACGACAAGAACACTGCGGGAGAAGAGATAAATTCATTTGTGACAGAAAAAATTGGGATCAGCATGCGTGCACATGATGAGAAGGAGAATTACAATGAAAAGGAGGTGGACTATAAAATAGACGAAGATGGATACATGTCAGAGTCTTCATCCTTCTCTTCCATGTTCTCTTCATCTTCATCTTCCTCCTTTGTTTCTATGGCGCTCCGTTCAGCTGGTGATGGACAAAATGAGAGGCAGCAACTCACCTTGAATAAAAAAGGGAAGGGCACGCATTTTCATCGACGTGAGAAAAAAAGCCAATTTCCTATTGCCGCCCCACGGGAGTATGCCGGTGCCATGGCAAAATGGGTGCATCTCCTTGAAAAAAGGCTTAAAAGTCCCTCTTGTCTTGGAAGCACTCCATGGGCAGGGGTACGGCACATCAACATCCGGGAATCCTTCGCTGTCAAAGGAAAGGATGCGCGAGCCATGTTCGGAGGAGGAGTGCTCATGCAGCCAACACCAACGGTGAAGCGTAAGTGATGAAAGTACAAGGGAGAAGGAAAGTAGAATGAAATGCAAGGTCTAGAAGATGAGGTCATAGAAGCCTCGCTTTGTGATCGACACACACTTACTGCTCCTCACAAAATTCTCTTTTAAAAAAATCCATTTCTGCATATCAGGCGGCAGCCCACTATATATTTGGAAATTCTGGGGTCCTCAAGTGCAAGAGCTTTTTGGTCCAAGTACGTGCCACATTGTGGGGTTGGGGCGCAGGAACAAGTGCCGGTCTGGAAGTTTCGGTTTCGAAAGCTTGCTCCCCTTCCGCCTGAAGAAAATTGATGTTGAATGGCTCGCCCGCTGCCTGTCCACAACGTCGTCTCTCATTCTCCTCCCCTTCCTCCTTGCCAGTCGAGATCAAGCATGAATACTGCCCTTGTTTGAATTGGGAGGAGACTTCAGCGGCGACTGCCACGGCAATGCAGGAAAAAGTGGACGAGAAAACAGAGGGAACGGAAGGAGAAAAGTGCACACGCATCGGAGAAAGCGTGGAGAAACGATGCGTAACGCCATGGAAAGAATGCCATACACAGGAGGGAGAAGAAACAGAGGACGAAGTGAGACAGACTGACCAAGAGAAAGCAGAAGGGAAAATGATTCTGGCTTGCAAAGAAAAAGCTGCCATTGAGAACGAAATTGTGAGGACGAGGACACAGAACGTGCGAGTTCAGCTGGAATGGATGGAGGCGCGGCACCACGCGGACAAGGTAAGGAAGAAACTGAGAGAAGTTTGGTGTGTATACTATCGTCTGTCAACGCAAAGAGTATGAATATCTTCCTTTTCCGTAGAATGTTTAGAGTGTCAAGAGAACAGAAATTGCATAGGGCTAGTCTTTCAATGGCGTCTCTCCCCATGAATTTACTCCAAATTCGTTTGATCCTTTCCCGTCGACAGCTTACTCTCAATCTGATCTTTGCTTTCAAGATGCTGTAAGGCAAGCCAACGAAGACGAGAGATAGTGACTAGGTATCAGGGGGACGTCAGTGAGTAACTTACATTTGTAGGTACAATATAGGAAGAAACCAAGCCTACCATCGACCGAGAATCGTGACCAAGGATGAACACAAGAAATAAAAGACAGAGCCCGACAAGGAATGGAAAAGTGGTCAACCTGTTCGAAAAAGGATGTCTTGGTCACGCACACAGAAGGTGACGGTCGGTCGACTCCGATACCCGAACCTGGCATGATAAACAAATAGTGCAATACCTAAGCAAGGCGCGAAACTTAAACCAAGAAGAACATGGGTTCTAATATGAATGGAAGGTGGGACCTATCACCACATAAATAAGTTTTGTACATTGTTGCTTTGCTGGCCATACTTGTAAGTTACGAGAGGTTTCTAAATAGCTCCAGCGAAAATCGTTCCCGTCCGGCTATCAACTGGAAAAATTCCTGTGCCTGCATTGTTGGTGCTAAATCACCTCTTTTTAGTTATAATCAGCCAGCACGACGAGAACATTTCACTAAATGTGCCAGCTCCACTTTAATTGCCCGAGCAATATGCCCATCTGATGTATACTTGCTATCTACTCTCTTCCTTCACTCGATTGTCTCTGGTCACATGAGTCAGGCAAGAGAAAGATCAAACAATGCAAAAAAGATCGTGAGTGCATAATGTTTATTTTCAATACCAAATTTCGCTTTTTTGCTGAAAGCGAAATAAAACTTCAACCAGTCGCTCAGTATTTTACGTTGAACGTTTCCCCCGGAAGGCATGACGATATCCCAGCATCGTCTCTTTTGTTTTGTCTGGGCTTTCCCGTAGGCGTTATTGGGATAAAAAGATATGTGATCGGTGGCTGCTGACCTCAACTCATCATTCGTTCACAATTTCGTCCCATTTTCGCAGGCGCCTATGCCATCTCCGCATGCGTCGCATAAGAATGCTCCGTCCGTCACTATTTATAACCTACCTGATTACCTGCCTCCAGTCGACGAAGAACTCCACTCTCGTATGATGAAGCATTACGGTGAAGAGCATTGGAATCGTATGCGTCGGGCACTTTCTACCAGTCCATCTCATTCCTGTCTTCGTGTGAACACTATGAAAGCGGATACACAATCTGTGTTGGAGGAGGTAACCACTTATGTGAACAATCATCGCAAGCAAAGCACCTGCACTGAGGGAAAGACAGCCATAGACGGAGAACAAGCCTCCTATCCCCCATCCAAGCCGTACTTGCACCCGATTCCGCCACTCTCCTCTGACACCATCATCATCCCGCACGCGTCGTCCTTCAAACCTCCGCCTCTCTTCAATCATTTCTCACCCGTACCCAACAAATTGAATCCTTTCATCGTGGTCGTCGACCGCCTGTGCGGGGAAGCTGTGCTGCGTGGCGCCGACGTCTTCGTGCGGGGCGTATGGAGCGCGAGTGCTGGCATCGCCTCGGGCTCCCGCGTGCTCCTTCTTATGGACCTTCACCGACACTCCCAGCGAGGCTGCCTGTACGCCGACTACCAAGGCGAGGCCATCTGCATCGGGCAAGGGGTCGCCCTCGTCCCCCGTGCGGAGCTCGTCACCGCCACCCACGGCCTGGGTATCCGGGTCACCCACCGCATGGGCCCTCAAGCCCCGCCCCTAAACGGTTTCCTCCCTGGCCGTCTCTTTCCTCAAAACCTCCCTTCCCTCCTCGTCGGGCACGTCCTCGCGCCCTTGCCAGGCAGCACCGTCATCGACTTGTGCGCGTGCCCGGGCGGGAAAGCCACGCACCTTGCCACGCTCATGCGGGGGGAGGGCGTGGTGGTGGCGTGCGACCGGAGCCGGAAAAAAATCAAGGCGCTGCAGGCGTTGGGGGAAAGAATGGGGCTGCTCCCTTGCTTGTGCCCCCTCGTCTTGGACACGACCCACCCCGTCCTTCCCCCCTCCCTCCGGGACCGGCGGCACCTGCCTTCGTCTCACCCTGTGGCTGTGTTGGCCGCGGCGGCGAAAAACAC